ACTAAGAATGTTAACAACATTTAGTAGCCTTTTCACCCAAATTTCACTAGGGTAAATCAACTATTTTATCAATAGAATACTTTAATGATTTTTTTTTTCTTGAAGCGAACATTCTCATTGCAAACTTCGGTTTCCTTTTCAAGAATATTTTTCCAATCCATGATTTCAGATCTGTCACCATTTGGGCTTCTTGTGCTAATGTTTTGTGCATCATAATGATAATTGAAGTACGATGCAGTAATGGATAGCGGCTTGGATTGAGGAATCGGAGAGCCGATTTTGAATTCTAGTCTGATTCTTTATATTCACTTACGTTCCAATACTCTTGGAAAAAGAATGAATCCTCTTCTTCCTGTCGCTATGGGTAAATAGCAGAACAGACTGGCTTCTATAGATTTTGGTGGTAACCGATCTAGAAGGAAAACTCTGAATCCAAACCTGCCTAGAGAGGTTTGAGCTCCGTCAGGGTTACTTACTGCGGCTGCACATACTTGTTGTGCCCTGATGTGTCACGGGATTCGTGATTGTGAATAATAATAATAATAATAAGAAGAAGAAGAAGAAGAAGAAGAAGAAGAAGAAGAAGAAAAGGGAGAAGACGAAGAAGAACAAAAACAACAACAAAAACAATAATAATAAACAAATAAATTGGACGATAGCATAAGTTGTTAGAGAAAGTTGTGCCTATATTTACGCAAAAATCAGTAATGATAATCTTAGAAAATACATATGGTAGAAAATTGTGTAAACAACGTGATTCGGCGTGGTAAACAATTTCTAACAGCACAAAGCAAAAGTTGTCATTAAAAAAAATGAGAATATATTCTGGGAGTTGAATTTCAGAAATGCTTTTCCCTTCCCTTAAAATATCTGAGTATGTAATTATAAACAATTCGTAAAAACTGACTGAGAGTTAAATCCACATATTAATGACAGAAAAAAAAAAACTCCCTTGTATATTCGATTGATGATTTTTTTTAAACATTGTGAAAAATTGTACAGATGTTTTGCATTTGAAATGTATACTTGAGCAATAAGACGACATGAGATCTCGACAAGTATGTCTGGTTTTTCCAACCGCGCCGACGATTAGACATTCTCCATCTACTTGCAATAGGATATTTTCCGGGTGAAATCTGCCATTCCAAATATAGTAGCAATGAATGTTAGAAACTCGATAAATTAAATAACAGAATATAACAGAATAACAGAATTCTTTTTACTTTAGCTATCACTATCTGTATGAAATGATGTTGTATGATTCTTTGAATTCTTTACATTTGGATTTTTGCCCTCATCTTCCTTCACATATTCACAACGTTTAGTCCGTTGTACGCTCTGGCCTTCCTCAGTTGATTGGAATTTCGGATCGAACAATTTATTTCGTCCACCGAGGTAGATTGTTCCACGTGCCATGTTTATTTCGGATGTCTCAGTTGTTTCCCTTTAACCCAATTCTCCAAGTTTTTTTTTGTTCTTCCACTGCTTTAGCCTGGTATTGAACTCACAAATCTTTGGGTCTATTCACTGGATCTAACCAACGCTTGGCTAGCGTAACGAGACTGTCCAAAACTTTGACATAAAGAATGCTACACTGGTCAAAGGAGAAATTATTTGACTACGACTTAATGACTAGAGAGTGCCTTAATCGCATAGTCATCTAGAGAAAATTGGCGTCCTGCTTCTACAATATTTCACCATTCCTAGCAGATCTTCCATCACAGTGTGGAATATATACTTACAAATGTGATGAAAAGAAAAAAGTAAAAGGCTATAAATGATTTCGGTTAGATATACATAAAAAGAAAGAAAGAAAAAACTAAACTTCACAGCATCCCTCTGTCATGCGCATGTGTAATGAAGTCCTGAAGGACGAAACGCGTCAAAAGTAATATTTTTCCACTTTGTTATAAAATTTCCCAAATACTTTATAATGTATAGTATTATCTCGTTTTAAGGTGTGCTATATTTATAGGATAAAGTGTTCAATATCAGAGATAGATCGTATGTAAATATAAATATAAAAGTGAACATTGAAGTCAACACTAAGAGGCGACAGAATGCTTCGTCAGGCTATATATATATATATATATATATATATATATATATATATATATATATATATATATATATATATCCTACTTTCATATAGCATTAAACCTATTTCTACTCCTCTTCATCTCATCTGTTATCGTAATGTTTTTATTCTTCCATGCTTATTTACAGCAATAAAATTACATATATTTTCCCAAGAAGTACACAACTGAGAAAATTCCAAAGACAAAGGTTATCCTCTTTTTTTCTTTTAAATCAAATTACAATGACTCAAAAATTTGATGTAAAAATCTTAGGATTTGTTTTTTACCATTTATATTTTGCTATAATTTTCTGAAATCACATATTGAAAACAGAATTATTCTATTTGGAGTAAGTAAAAATATATCTAATTTAATAAATAATATTATAGAGGTTTATTCATTTTATATAACATGTATACTTTTGAAAACACAGTGTATTTGCTACACTATCCTTATAATATTTTTCATTTTTATTTCCATTTGCTACAATATCCCGGTTTTCCCCTAGAACCATCTCATATAGGAATAGTTTTAAAATATTTTAGAAGTAAAAGAAGCATATTAAATGAACATTAATATTAAGACTTCTCGTTGTGAGACATTTTTGCAATTCTGTGATAATTCTAGATAATTCCTTAAAAAAATGATTCATCTTCTTTTTTTGCGATCTCGGATTCTTTATTGCTTTATTGGGTGAGATGCATTGTGGGATGTTATTGACGTAATACAGAACAAAAGATTCTAACATGAAAAAGCATTCAATCTAAGAATAAAAGTACAAAGCAAAGAGGAAAGCAAATAAAAAGAGAATGTTTTTTCCGATATACCGGATACCACAATGTAAACTATACTTTTATGGACAACGTAGAACAATCTGTTTTAACTAATCTATAGACAATCTATGAGAAATAATTGTAATTGAAAGGTTTACAAGTGAATTAATGGCGCATTCGTTAACATTAAACGTGTGCATATTTTACAATATTCTCATCCATAACTCTCTGTTGTTGATTATGTTATTTTTTTTACCATTTACTAAAACTATTTTTTTTATTTTTACCATTTGCTAAAACTATTTTGTATAGAACACTTCTCTTGCCTTAACTATACCATATGGCACTTCGGCGTGGTGTAATGGTTAGCAAGCTTGTCTCACTAGATCAGTTACGACTAAAAAGTGAGTTCGATCCTCACCAGGTACCCCATACTTTCGGCCTTGTGCCCCATCTAAGCTACGCTTAGAAAAAAAAGGGCACCTCGAGGTGGTGTAATGGTTAGCAAGCTTGTCTCGCTAAAACAATTACGACTGAGTAGTGAGTTCGATCCTCACTGTGTGCCTCTTACCTTCGGCCTTGTGCCACATCCAAGTTACGCTTGGAAAATCAAGGCACCTCGGCGTGGTGTAATGGTTAGCAAGCTTGTCTCACAAGAACAATTACGACTGAGTAGTGAGTTCGATCCTCACTGGGTGCTCCATACTTTCGGCCTTGTGCCACATCTAAGCAGCGCTTAGAAAATCACTATACCATAGGAATTTTATAATGCATTATTTTTTTATTTTATGTTCAAATTGACAAACATCGCTTTATCTTTTTAAGGAAAAAGAATCCTCGATTATCCCAGTTATACTTAAAACTTTCTCATAATGGACACTATGTTACAATTGTAGCATTCATCGGTAGGAACACATTACTTTCAAACATCTTCATATGTGGGGAAATTGCTCAGTCTTAACCGCCACATAAACGATTATATAATACATAATAATTTCATCGCTTTGTTTCTCTATATAATTTCTTGCATCATAATAATTTGCTTATTTTCTTGAAAATGTCTTACAATAACCCTACACGTCTACAGATTTTTGTCTTTAAGGATCTGTGACAAAACTATCTACATTATTCAAATTTATGTATTAACTTCGACTCCCGTAAATCATAGCCCTTACACTGAAATTATGGTAACGGCCTGGCATACTGTCTACTTCCAGTTAATAATGCTTTCTTATTTCTTTGCATCACTCCATTATTTGAGATGACTTTCATTTTCCTCTATGAGTCTGATATCAACAGATACACCCTCGTATCATGCACTATGAGGTTTATATCTGACTATAATAAATACTGGTAGATATACGATTTAGATGAAAGACTTATCCTCGCTCTTATCGGATTTTAGGATGATTGGATGGCAGAGGGTAGATAAAGGAAATGTTAAAATGTCAAATATTTCTTAGAGCATACTGAAATTACCGAGATAGATAATCGCTCATGTTCTGAAAGAAATAACTTTCAAATCACTCAAAACATTTACAATGGGTTCACATTTTTTCTGGGAAACCCATGAATAGGCTGTACGTCGAGAAATGATTGCTATAATGATAAATTTAAATTTTTAAAAATAATTTCTACACCTTTTCATCCGGTTGATAATTCCATTAGCAAATATCTACTGAGGCTCTATTGTTTTCCTTTCTTTATTCCTAAATTAGAGAGCTTTAACTTAGATACGTTTATAATGACAACCCAAGGAACATGGAATAGATTCATAGTATCTTTTAGGACCCGTTCTCGACTATAAAATGCAGCATCACAACGTAGCAGCGATTCCAGAACTGGCTCAGAAAAACGTTATTATTTAGAGAAATTTGTTTGGATTTTACAGCTTGTCAACCCTTTTCAAGTTATTCTAAGGTCAGAAAATATGTTAAGATTGTGAGATTTGGGCGTGGAGGGATAATAACGATTTATTGATACAAGTCATACTATTTAACCTATAGATGGAGAAGAACAGGTGTATTCAATAACGTTTGCATGGATATTTGCACGTAATTGCATATAACGATCACGACTAGAATTATAATTCGGCACTTTCATTTCCACTTCAGAGCCGTTAACCATTTCAAAGCAAAAATGCCCAAGCTAACAATACGTGATATTCCCAAGCAGCCATCCATCTGTGTGCAAACCAGGCCAGATTTTGCTTTACTTCGGTGATCATACGAGAACCGGTGTTTACAAGTTATATGGCCGTAAACCCAGAAATCATCTAGGGAGAAGATACAAAATGCCATCGTGTTAACGCTTACCGTACCAATTTAAATACAGGAACTTGCATTGGAATAAACCTCTTTATTACATCTCAATTTTCAATTAGCCTTATCTCAGCCGAAATCAGTAGTCTCCAGAATACATCTCATAACACTTCCGAGCAACTAGGGCCTAATGACAGGTTGTATAATCCTTCAGTAGTGACCCACCATTTTTTAAGTTTTTATGGACCCCATGGATAGGTGCAAACTTTCTTAAAGCAGTGCAAATAAGATATCAGCGGTCAATGACATCTGTAGGCAGCTCACTCAACACCTACCAGATGAAACACTCTATAGCATAATGAGTTATCACCAACCTGCAAAGTGCTTCGTCGATCAATTGTGTCATAGGATCAGCACAAGACACGTAGACTATCGATAGGTTGAACTCTAACTCATCTTATCACGCCGCATGTTTGCCTCCCCTAGAATCCAATTTGAGACGTCACAATGTTTAATTACCGAATGATACGCCTATATTCAATTTTTTGCTTCACTTTTTTTATGAAACTAACTATTGTGCCGTTATTTAATGCATATAACTTAAATCACAATACACAGACACACACACACACACACACACACACACACACACATATATATATATATATATATATATATATATATATATATATATATAGATAGATAGATAGATAGATAGATACACCTAGTGAGCCAGACAAACCTACCTAGGTTTCACCTAAACGGATCGTCAGGGAAAATCAAGCTAACGAGGCAAAGAGAAAGACATAATTAATGGCGATAGTTAAAATCATACCTCGTGACCAAAGAACCACAAACACAAACCTAAGTGAGTGTGGTGGGGGGGGGTAAATATTTATTCAGCGTAGTCTGCTCTGCGGTTGTATTGAGCACTTCTGTTAGTTGTTTACTCGTATCGGGGTTTTTCCTTTGGGCTTCAGACCTGCATCTGTGCGATTTTTTGTCGACAGAACTCCATGTTTATAGCTCTTTCTTTTTTTAAAACCTTTTTTCCCTCGAGATTGATTTGATTAGCAAATCAAAAATTCGAGGGTTTTTCGAAACGAGTTTAGTTATATATAATATATATATAGAGAGTATATATAGAATATATATATATATATATATATATATATAGAGAGAGAGAGAGAGATGGTTGAATACGCAATATGTTTGGATATGTACAAAAGCAAACCCCGCATTCTTGTACAATAATAGTAGCGTTTTAATTAAAATATATAAGAGGAGACCGTGCCAGCTAAGAATGTATTAGATCGAAACAAGAAACGTACATTTTGATATACAGAGTATCCTCGCTGTTGATCTTCCTTACCCAATTGTTTCCCCCTTTTTTAACACTTGGCCTAATACCGTTAAACAACTACTTATAAATTCATACACACGCGTGTGTAGATAGATAGATAGATAGATAGATATAAATGGACTGAGATAGATAGACAGATAGATAGATAGATAGATAGATAGATAGATAGATAGATAGATAGATAGATAGATGCAGTGTTGATATAGGGATGAACTATGCAGTGTGATTGGACGATTCATGCTGAAATTCGATCTTCAATGCCGACTTCAAACTTGATCTCAATATTACATTTAACCATAAAATCCAGGTACTTAATAAACGTCCTTCAAATACTAAGGACCACATATAAATATACTACATTTAAACCATATATATATATATATATATATATATATATATATATATATATATATATATATATATATATATATATATATGCGTCTGTGTGTTTGCGTGTGTGTGTGTGTGTATGTGTGTGTGCCCTCGTGTGTGTGTGTGTGTGTGTGTGTGTGTGTGTGTGTGTGTGTGTGTGCATATGTATGTATGTATGTATTATGTATTATTACTAGACATACTTCTAAGGGATACCCATATTTGAGCAGATGTTCTACTTATTCATTAACAACACATTTACTTTCATAACGGTTTCACCTTGGGGATGCTGTTTGAAATTCTACCGAAAATTTTTTTTCTAATAAGATTGCTCGAATATTCTGGTTGGTAAATGAAAATAAATACATGTACAGTTTATCAAATAGACAGATCTACTAAAATACGGGCATCCGCTAGAAATGAAATTTAAAAAAAAATATGTCAGGTAATATATTCAATGATTCATTTCTAAAATTTCATATCTCTCTCTCTTTCTCTCTCTCTCTCTCTCTCTCTCTATATATATATATATATATATATATATATATATATATATATATATATATATATTAACAAACAAAAAAAAAATCGAAAACCCGCTTAGAAGAATTATATAAAACACTAAAAAAACGAGGCTACCCCACAACACTTGTAAACAAAGGTTTTGAACTCGCGAAAAAATTCCTCTAGACCAACTTAGAAATAAAAGAAACGTAACGTCGAACAAACTTTAGCATATGTCTCAACATACAACAAAAATAATCCAGAAATATTCACAGAAATTACAAAAAATCTTGACCTCCTTAGCAAGAATAAAAAAAACTGAATAATATACTAAAAACAACCAGAATAATTAAAAGCAAACGCCAATCTAAAAACCTAAAACACATATTAATCTCATCTAAATTTAAACAACACACAATACAGGGAGTCACAAAATGCAACTAAAAAAAGGTGTGTGGTTTGTGACATCATTATAGAGGGAAACTCCTACACTTTTGAACCCCCCCCCAAAAAAAAAAAACATTCACAATAAATAAAAACATAAACTGCAACTCCAAAAATGTGATTTATGTACTTAAATGCGCAAAATGCAAAAAGTCATATATAGGCATCAGCTAACAACTGAACAATAGGGTCTCTCTGCGCAAAAGGAATATAAAATTACCAGACAACAGAAAACTTTTTGTATCACAACACATCTTCAAATGTAACCAGGGTAAATTTAATATCATGCAAATATAGGAAACAGACAATTATTCTTACCTACAGATACAAGAAAAAAAAAACTTCATAAACAAATTTAAACCCGAACTAAATAGATCATAACCCCACACCCAAAAGCTCACAGCGTGCACGCAATGTGACCAAATACAGTGATCAAAGCACGCACATGCATCACGCACGCTCACATGCAGGTATCTGTGGGGCAAACGAAAATGCACACACACACACACACACACACACATATATATATATATATATATATATATATATATATATATATATATATGTACGCATGTTGACAAAAGCAAGGGAACAACTCATGAGCACGCACACAAACTCCACACAAGTTAGGAAGTACATGTGTATGTATGTACGTATATATGTGTGTATATATGTGTGTTTACGTGTTTCATGTAACTTGGGAAGTATGTGTGTGTATATGTGTGTATATGTACTGATTCATTGTGGTGGGACGGTGTGTGTGTGTGTGTGTGCGAGTGTACATGCATCTGTGTATGTGTCCAAATGTGTTTACTAATTCCTCGTATTGAGACAGTGTATGTATGGAGGGGGAATATACAGACGCATATATACCCGCATGCTGACAGAAACACACGAAAAAAGATAAAATGCCGATAAGTAATTCATCATTTCTCTCGGACCAACCTTAATTATTTTATGACCCTTCGCGCAGAACTCTTCATTGCCAATTCAAGAAAGACATTCGGATTACTAACACAAGAACACAAAATGTCTCATATCGAGAATATTTAACATTGAAAAACATAAAGGAAAACAAAAACTTATTATTTTTAATAATATGTGGAAATCTCTGCCTTTTACGTGAAGACGGTCGCGAGACCAGAAACCTGTGTAGTAAAATTATGGAAAATAAAGTATAATATTTTTTTAAAAATATCCACATTACAACCAAAAACGTGCGGTACCTCTCTTCTTTTTAATATACACACTTTTCCCTCGTTGGAACCACTATAACGTCATTCTTATATACATACATACACACACACACACAAACACACACACACACACACACACATATATATATATATATATATATTAATGTGGATAAATCAAGTAACTAGATATTAGCAACCATATATACGTGCTTCAGCGTGCATACACATTTAAGCGAATAAATATTTACTCAATTAAAGTTTTAAACAAAACAGTGCTCAATATGGTTAGACAAAGCTAAGAAGATATATATTAATTAATATACATATACCTACATTTGTAGCGCAAATTTAAGTTTCGCTTTTCTACCATCTCATCAGGCAAGAATTATCACTTTTGATTGTAGTAATTAATAACTCGTGCTGATGATTTAGTAGAACAACGAAACTTTAGCTGCACTTCGAATATATATATATATATATATATATATATATATATATATATATATATATATATATTTAGAGAGAGAGAGAGAGAGAGAGAGAATTCCAATAACTTGGACTGATTTCAATGAGAATTATCTTTAAACGTCTAATGATTTATTCCTTTCCTTTCAGATTTTTCACGCATAATTGCCATGACTTAAATAACATGATCCAATAGAGAAATAAAAAAAACACCAATGACACTGATATATTTACTGCTGAATTGATCCGTCTTAATGAAACACCCTTTATATATAATACGACACTTTCTCTCTCTCTCTCTCTCTCTCTCTCTCTCTATATATATATATATATATATATATATATATATATATATATATAAGCCTGTGTGTGTCTTTGTATTTGTTTTTGGTGTGTGTTTATGGATACAGAGATCGTTAGAGGATGGATATAAATTAATTTCTCGAAGGCTATACACAGGCCTCGTAAAAATAAACATGTTATTTTTTAAAGTAATCTACCTTTTCATTTACTTTTTTTTGCGATAATTGCAGTCTTAAATATTCCAAGTTTACAAAACATTAGAAAGCGATTGGATTAAAAATTTCTCTAGTATATATTGTTTCAATTTAGTAGTCAATATTATCCAAATTTCTGACTAGATCGTTTGACCAAAG